AACTACCCCATGAGGGTACCCTCGCTCCTGGTGACGGAGAATCCATCGCTGAGCATCCACGACTAAGCTACTTTACTCTTCCTGAACGTGGGTGCTTAGGCTGCTTCGCGTATTCTGGGGGAGGAGGGGGGGATTTTGCTCGCGACTAAAACTGCTAGGAGCAAGCGGAGCAATAAGACCAAGGCGACCCCTGTCACGCTATCCGTGAATTTTTCCAACATCAGGACACTTCATTCGAATCTAAATGCTGTCCACTACCACCCGGAAACGGCGATGCCGGCCTTGCTCTTTTTAACTGAGACTCGGATGTCTTCTCCGGCTGATACTTCATATCTCTTCTACCCGGGTACAAATTAGAGCACACTCCTTTGTGCCCCCGGCTGGAGTTTGTTCTATTTTGCATTTACTAAAATATACTTTTTTTCATTTAGAAAAGTATATTTTTAATTCCATGGAAATTTAGTTTTTATTCCAACTAGTTTTTTTGTATTAAGTATTTTTTATAATAAATATGTTTTAAATTACATATGTTGTATATTTTAGCGATGCTTACATGCTCACTGGACAATCTATCAAGAAGACTTTTAAATGATCTACAGACGTCTCCTACGTGCTTTATCTTTTTTTGAATTGTCAAATTGTTGAAATTTATTAAAACCGACAGATATACCTTCGTATTCGCGTCGCATTCTTATAGTAGTATTCGAGTAGTATTGTATCTCGATTTTCAGGAACTTTAAAAAAAAGTGGCAACACTTTTCTGACTCACACAAAGTTATAAAATTGGTTACATAATGATTTCTTATATTTACGCGAACACTACACATTGAAATAATACTAGTTTTTACGGAATTTATCGCGTATATTTAACTTTTTAAATACCCGACGTTTCGAACGCTTTACAGCACTCATGGTCACGGGCGGGACTGAGATGTTCAACGTCCATATGTCATAGTTAACCGCGGTTACCATAGATTAAAATTTTACTTTTGTTCCGATCTATGCAGTATGATCTTATGGTATCTTGAAGTCTTGCAGTTGTATCCTTGGGTTGAGATTTAATTTTATTTATTATAGGATCCCAAGCAGATGGTAGCACCCAGCCATCGTCTCTATTGAAATTAGGATGTTTTTTGATTTCAATAGCCTCGCGAATCATCCTTGGAAGGAATCGGTGTTCTTTAGCGAGGATTTGCGGTCTATCAAATCTGATGTAGTGACGGGGGGCGATCCTGTACGTGTTCACAGACTGCAGACTTCCCGGAGCGTCGATTCTTCACATCAGCTATATGTTCTTTAACGCGGGTTTTTATTGATCTTTTAGTTTGTCCTATGTAGGAGAGACCATATTCACAATCAAGCTTGTACACTCCTGCATCTTGCAGAGGGACATTACACTTGACCGATGGTAAAAACTGACCAATCTTCTTCAGCGGCTTGAAGTATGTTTTGATGGAAGCGCGCTTCAAGATGTAGCCAATCTTGTCAGTGACTCCTCTAACATATGGCAGTACAGCAGGTACACGCTCGACTGTGGCCGGCTTCACTCGTTCACTGTGACGTAGGCGCGGGACTCGAAGCTTGTTGTCATGCAAAACTTGCTTGACATGGTGGAGCTCCGCAGCCAGGTGTTTACTGTCACAGATCCCTCGTGCTCTTTGAAACAAAGATTTACCCACGGTGAAGGATGGTGGTGAGAATCACCGTTTAAATATCTATCTGTATGGGTCTTTTTTCTATACACAGTATGGCTCAAGGTGTTATCAGGATCCTTCGGAATCCTTCGGAATCCTGAACACATGAATTAATATCGAGATCCTTGATCAATAAGGCTATACATATTCATTAATCCAGACACCTAACATAATAAAGTACGGGACACATTGTAGCTTTACGTTACTCGGTTCTCACCATCGCAGCTTTAATTAACCTTCTATTTTTTGCTTACCCTTGAATTGACCTGAATTCTTAAGTAATTAAAATTGTATTAAATTTCGTTTGCGCTTTTAATTTGAATTTTTTACATAAATTAATAGTTCTTGGCTAGTCACATATTAGTAAGTAGCATAGGAAAACAAATCCATCCATCGCAACCACTCTACTGGTGACCCCGACTTAAAGGAAGTGGACGATAACAATGACGTATTACTAATGCAAGCATGTAGTACGGAATAAAAAGCCCCGTCTTTATCCCCAACGACTCGTTACTTTTGTATTTTATACTGTCAAGCTCAAAGATCAAATCATAATTTCTAAATTACCCTAGATAATTTCGACCTTCATAAGATATTCACATAGATTGTAGTATATTCAAAACTCTTCGCAAATCAAAATTTGATATTGTATCATCTCTGTCAGCTCATTCATTTCTGCCTTTTTAGTCCAATCCTTTCCTTTGTTTCTTAATGGTAACAATATCGTTTTTCTAGAGATGCTTTTATTGTATGTTGAGCCTGTTTAAACCAATAAGGATTAGCATGAAGAACATTGATCCCTATTGGCTAGAAATATGAATAGTTATTTTGTATGAAAAACTGTTTCATATTGGCGTTTTGTGGCCATCTGAAAATCATCGTAATCTTGTTGTACCAAATTTTGTTGTAAATAAATTATATGTAAGTATTAAATCATATAAATTTAAAAAAATATATTTATTATTATTATGAAATTATGTTAAGTCTCATTACTTGATTGTTTTTACTTAAAATAAAGCTAAGCTACTGTATTATTATTTGTTTACGGAAATAGTAAAAAAAAATTAATGGAATTAACTAAGTTAATACGAAAACACGTTTTTGTTTTGATGTGTAACGATATTTTTCCGGTTTTGCTGATGAATTAAATTGCTGAATACAAGACAATTTATCCTTCATAAAGTAAGCATCGGAAATAATATAAAAAAGCAATATAAAAAAGATATTACTAGACGTGTGATATTAGTACAATTCTACGGTGACGGCTCCTTGGCACAGTGGCTTGTCAGTGGCGCAGTTACAGCGCTAAGGGCCGCGGGTTCGAATTCTGCACGGAACAAGTATTTGTATAGTCTACAAGTAATTGTTCCGAGTCTGGATGTTTGTCCTTGTGAAATTTATGTTTGTAAACTGCTCCCACGATACAGGAGAAAATCCTAGCGTGGAGGTAACGTTTAAAAAGAATTCTTATAAACACGCCTTTCTGTGTTCCTTTAGCATATATTGCCAAGTGGAGCAATTTTTAATTTAAAGATTACAGACAGCTGTGTCCCTATTTTCAAAGCCCATAAATTATTAACTTTTCCGTGTCTGTATATTCTAGAAATAGCGTTATTTGTCAAAATTATTCATCATTTATTTCCTGTCTTAAACGAAACTCGAGTACGAACTATATCTACGAGAACGCAATATAAATTAGCATTTGACACAACCTGGAACAAAGCACTCATAGCTTCTTTAATATGAAATAATAGATTAAGGTGATTGTACTGAATCCAAGAAAATAACTAAGTACTTATATGGCAAAGATGGGCTAGCTAGGTGCAATAAAACTACTTGTACATTTATTGAACTGTATCCTTTCATGTTTATGAAGTATTGTCCGCTATTTGCAGTGACTTTCGGGTTTCGAATATGTGTGCAATCAATAGCCCCAGTCACTTGTCTAAATCCACATAATTAATAAAAACCTGCAATCACTTTGTTTTGCTCCACATCACTTCTTGGCATTTTAATCCATTGCGCTGTTTTTGTTCCTAGTACGAGGGTGGATTGAAAAGTACTCGGCCTAACACAGATCCATTCAATTCTAAAAATCAAATCTACCCACATTATTTAGTTCAGTTCAGACTAGTTCATTGTGTGAAGTTCGAAACGTGTGCGATAATTAGTTGTGATTTTATAAATTTATTAACAAAGTAATCGGACATAATTTCCGCGAATGGAGCAAATCGAGCAGCGTGCCGTCATTAAGTACCTCCATAAGAAGGGGCTATCATCAAAAGCCATCCATGATGACATGGTCAGTACATTAGGCGATTGTGCTCTGTCATAGTCATTCGTCAAAAAATGGATAGCAGAATTTAAGCGTGGTAGAGAGAGTGTGAAAGATGAACCCCGCTCTGGAAGGCCTTCGACGCCAACTACTGACGAATATATTAAAAAAGTACTTGATTTAATAATGGGAGACCGCAGATTAAAAATTAGAGAGATAGCCGAAATTATAGGCATCTCTTATGAACGAACTCAAAACATCATTGTCAACGAGTTGGGTTTCCACAAGGTGTCTGCGAGGTGGGTTCCACGACTGCTTTCAGTTGAACAAAAAAGGACGCGATTGACTATTTCACGCGACTGTTTGGAGTTATTTGAAGCCGATGCAGATGATTTTTTGAATCGTTTTGTTACTGTGGACGAAACATGGGTTCATTACTGTACACCGGAAACAAAACAACAATCAAAACAGTGGAGAAGACCTGGTTCACCACCCCTAAAAAGGCTAAGTCGATTTTGTCGGCAAATAAGGTGATGGCTTCAGTATTCTGGGACTCGAAAGGTGTGATTATGATTGATTACCTTGAAAGGGGTCAGACTATAAACTCTGATTACTACTGCACCTTACTATGTCGTTTACGAGAGGAAATAAAAGAAAAACGTCGAGGAATGCTCAGAAGAAAAGTCCTGTTTCATCAAGATAACGCCCGTGTTCACACGTCAGTACAGTCAATGGCTGAAATTCACAACTGTGGCTTTGAACTGTTACCGCATCCGCCGTATTCACCTGATCTGGCACCATCAGACTTCTTTCTGTTCCCTAACCTAAAAAAGCACTTGGGAGGTCAAAGATTTTCGACAAACGACGAGGTCAAAGCAGCTGTAGACGCATATTTTGACTCTAAGGAAGAATCATTTTTTTTCAACGGTCTAAATGCTTGGAAGGGGAAGTGGCAAAAGTGTATTGAACTTGATGGTGATTATGTAGAAAAATAAAAATATAACTGATTTAGTATGTGTTTATTTTCTTGGTTAGGCCGAGTACTTTTCAATCCACCCTCGTACTAAAGCAACTTGTTTACATACAAGTGGTATTGTTGTCTGACTCATTCCACTTAGATCCCTTGCATCATCTTGAATCTATTGAAAACAAAATAAATTGAATTAGAAATCATAACAATTAATAATTATGTACTTAGTTGTTAAAACTATTTATAATTAAAGATGTTAATGTAAATAAATTTAAAAACCTATGAAATTAATAGTAGGTAGGTACAGAGTTATATTTACCACTCCACGGGCCCATGTTCTTATTGCAGTCATAACTTTCAGATGGGGTAGAATAAACCTACCTCTTGAATGACCATCTAAATCATTTTTCACCATATCAATAAGGAAAACGGCAGTAGTTCGAGAAAATATGGATTTAATTTTAAATTCAGCTTCTTAAAGTTCTTCCAGAGGTTTCTTACGAATTTTTTATCTCATTAATGGAATCCGATTAACAACTTAATTAATTTTATCTATCCCTCTCATATCATCAATCAAATAATCTCTATTCATCTTGTTGTTGTTGACAATGAACTAAAGTATTATTTTTAATAACAAAGAATAACGGAGGTAATAAACTTACAACTTATCCAACACCTTTAAACGAGCAATTCTTGATATATATATATATATATATATATATATATATATATATATATATATATATATATATATATATATATATATATATATATATATATATAATCGGAATCTCGGAAACGGCTCCAACGATTTTCATAAAATTTAGTGTCCGGGGGTCTCGGGGGCAATAAATCGATCTAGCTAGCTATTTTTTTTAAGAAAATGTCGTTTTGTCCGTGTTTTCGGGCAATGAAAAACTGCTACAATATAAGAAGGTAAATTTTGACACTGTGTTAATGATCGTAATAGCTCAAGTGGATATCGGGCCGTCGCGAAATCGTAGTGCCCTGGTTCGCGTCCTGTCTTCGGTCCGACTTTCTTTCCTTTTTTTTTCAAGTTCCCCTCTTTTGTGAGAAAATCTATTATTACGAGCCTTTTTTTAGTTTTTTTAAACACGAAAATTTAAATTAAACTAATTTCGCTCATGATTTTTTATTCAAATAACCAGTTCAGTTTTTTATATTATGTTAGTAAGATCAAAAAATATTCTTCATATTTTATCAGTAGGTAATTTGTACCTAAATATAATTTCCAAAACACACGATTTCCAAAAAAAAACGAGCAAAGGTCGATCATCCAGGTACTGAATTTAACACGTGTAACAACGCGCGTAAACGAAGTTTTACAAAATGTCAAAATACGCGACTAGTCTATGCTTATTCTGTCGTTAAACTGGGTACCGCCAAGGATTAACTTTTATTCCGAGAGTAGATTCAGATTAGTTTACTCCTTTACTCTAAGTTTATTAATACTGAAATTGGATATTTTAAGCTTAAAACTAAGAGTAAAGTTAATTTTGCTTGTAAACATTGCCGGCCTTTTAAAAAGCAATAGGCTCTTTTCTTGACGGTCCCTAAATCGGATCAGTCCGGAAAAATCTCTGGTGGTAGTCTATTCCACAAGGAAGTTGTACGGGGAAGATAACTTCTTTAAAATGGCACATTGGTGGACCGCAAGTCATCCAGATGGTATGGATGGTATCGCGAGTTTAATTTAATTTAAAAAATTGGTTGACCCTGCAGGCCATCCCTGGAACTTCCCGCTAATTTCAAATGCAAAGCGCTCCAAATTTCCAAGAGGCAGATACCAAGTACCTGTCTGGATCTGTTGTCAGCAGAAGGTCCAAGCAATTGTATGTAAGTCCGGCTCCATCTGGTACTTGCGTCACTACTTGAACGATCTGAGTGAAATCTAGTAATAACACAAGTTTGCGCGCCTCTCCCCAAGCATGGTTGGTTTTCTCGTGGTAGCAACCACTTCTTGTGGTGGGCGTTACAGTACCGGAGAAAAACTATCTCCACAGACGAATACCGTTGTTGTGCTTTATCTACCATCTCTAACAGGTATTCCATTTGTGGCGGCGCTGTCATCGCACCGCAAGCGAAACACACCGAAGCCTAAATCACGCTATCAAAATTCCGAATCATAAACAGTATATATAGAACATCTCCGACCTATCACACGGAGCGTTGGCCACTCCCAGAACACCTTGCCCCGCGGGAGATCTCCCCTTTTATTTCTACGGCCACAGTGGTGACCACCCGACGTGATCTGAACACGCAACCAACATCCTTCGGAAACTTCAAGCTTCATCATCGTCATAGAATACCCCACCCATTCGCTCCCGAGCAGATATCATCTGCAGTCTTCATATTCTGCAAGCCATCTAGCTTCACAAAGTTCATCGCAGCACTGGAATAATAATGCTTCCTGTTCCTTCAAGCTACTCTCTGCGCTATACAGTGTTCGGCACGGCTCTGAGCCTTATTGCTCGCCTCTGCTTCATGGCACTCTCGCAGATTATACTTGCCTTATTCTCGACTTACCGCAGACTACAAGGCAATCTCCTGGCACTTGCACATTCGTCGGCAACGAGGCTGCACTATCGACCTGCGGTCTGAGCAGGGGGTGATGTGACGGCACTGTCGTCGCGCCGCAAGCGAAACACACCGAAGCCTAAATCACGCTATCAAAATTCTGAATCATAAACAGTATATATAGAACATCTCCGAACTATCACACGGAGTGTTGGCCGCTCCCCGGGCAGAACACCTTGCCCGGCGGGAGATCTCTCCTTTTCCTACCACGGCCACATTTTAAATACCTGATAGAGGTGGAGGCCAAGGGACGACCAGCCTCATTAGCCTGGTCGTCATCTTGTCTCCGCTGTGTAATCGATAGACACAGGCATAAGAGGCTAAGAAAACTCTTGTGTCTACACCGATGTCGACCAAAAGCCACATAGCAGAAAACCTTGAAACATCATAGCAATGGAGACGCCAACAACAAATGTCACTGCTGACGTACACACAGACCCTGGGCGCGCTGTTTGAACTTATTTTCAAGCGTGTAAACTGGATAGTTGAAGTATACTATATCAGACGAGGTTTCAATCGGCGTCTCCGTTAATAAGAATAGGTGTGACTTCTCGGTCTCGAGGTGCTAGTAAACCGGATCGAGATCATTGTGCAACCCTCTAATGTTCGTGAGGTGCACTTTTAGCGAGAGGAAATGCTACCTTTGTTTTACCATATTCTTCTTAACGTTTTCATGTTGGTTGACTGCTTTTTGGTGGGGAAACTGTTGAGAAATCAAGGCGCCGCTCAAAATACCATCCAAAGACTCAAAAGCTTAGCTAATCGATGTCAAGCTACTTTGAAAACCGCGGAGATGCTTGGGCCCCTCCCTAGAAACTGGCACAGTGGAGCATTTCGGGATTTTTCACGACTTGGAAGGGCAGCCTTTGGCACGTGGCTTGCGCGCTACATGGGCCCACACTACTTGCGGTCGGCCAACGGCAAGACCGCACCTCAGATACCGCTACCCTCTATAATGAGTTACCCGGCTTTGCTCCGAAGTATTTTTATTGTATATTGTGTTGTGTTAGTATTATAGCAAATTGCAACTTAATGGTGTTAGCGTTGAATGTAATAAAGATTTTGTTACAACCATAGCCATAGGTTATATTAAAAGTTTTTAAATATAATTTCCTTACAATTTTAATAATTATATTTATATTTTAAATTATTAAGATCTACTTTATTTATAAGGAGCAGGTATTAGATAACACAATTTGTGCACTGTGAACCCTGTACTAGGTAAACCTGTCTCACAGGGTTCCTCACCTTCCATATTGTAATAGTAGACATTGGTACATTTAGAAGCTAACGCAGGAAGAAACAAATAGTGGAAAAATACACTCAAATCCATATAATAAAAAATATGACAACAACGGCCATTGGGCAAATTTTGTTAGTTTAGTTGTTAGACGTAATTATGTATGAAGGACGAATGTGATTGATAGGTGGTTGGAAGTTACTTATTACATGTTTTGAAAGTATAGATATACATGTCTAATATAATGCATGTATTAACAGAAATCAGAATCATAAATTATAAATCGGAAATCAGAAGTAATTTTCTTATTTTACTATCATCAACAAATTTAAGTTGTGCTCGTAATCGTGTACCTTTTGTACACAAATGTGTGTGTGTAAACACAAATAATAATTAAGTGAAATAATATCCAGCGTGTGCCAAAGAAGCATTGAAAACGAAGAGTAAAAGGGGTGTTAAATTTAGAAACCAGACATATATTACGAGTGTCTTCTTTTTATTAACTTCCCGCTATGAAAATCAATGATTTTAAAAAATCGGGAAGTTCTTGTTATCACTTCGATTTTAGAAAATCGAGTTTTCATCATACCTCGGCGTTTCGAGGTCCTAGGAAACTATTATGTCTATTTAGGTGATGATGTCCGTATGTCTGTATGTATGTGTATATGTAAACATCTCATAACTTTTTAACGGAGTGTCCGATCGAAAAGCGGTTTGCAGCATCTGAGAGGGCATCTGTAAATTAAGACCGATTAGGCACGGTAGATTCTGAAAAAAAAAACTCAAAAATTCGATTTTTTTCCATTTAAAAAAATATTTTTAAATTACTTCGACACCTTTTTGATCAATTTTATGATCTTATCTGTTTTTAATAATAAAACGACGTTAATTGCATCGAAACCGTTTTATTCGTTCGAGAGATATCGTTGTCGAAAAAATCTCAAAAAAGTGTGTTTTCAAAATAACTCGAATATCTATCCTAAACCTGTTTCACCTCCCCTCGCCAAAAACGTGGTAACAGGTGAAATATGACTCCCTAACCTTGTGCATTAGCATAAAAAATTGGAATAAGAGGGACTCCGGTTGCACTTTTCGAAAGTTATCTGTCGCAGAGAAAACAAAAGGTAAAGCTTCCTGGCTTCACTAGTGGGAAGCGGAGGTGTCATCATATGGCGTTCCGCAGGGTAGCGTTCTGAGGCCAACCTTATTTCTGATTTATATCAATGACCTCTGCAGTATGACCGTACCAAATGCTAAAATCCTGTCGTACGCCGATGACACGGCTGTGGTTTTTGATGGTGAATCTTGAGAGGTTATCAAGACTAGTGCTGAAAGTTTAGCTTGAGTCGCTCTGTGATTGCAAGAAAATTTCCTCACTCTAAATACAGCTAAGACAAATTTACCAACAACTCGCAGCCCCAGACTGACTTTGGCCTTAAAATTCATACGTGTACTGAGGCTGCTAAAAAAAGCTTGTGACTACCCATCAATTGAAAAGGTTTCTCACACTAAATAGTTGGGTGTCGTTATAGATCAGAAGCTATCGTGGTATCCACACCTGGAGCATGTCATTAATAGGGCCCGAAAATTGATTTGGATGTTCAAAACCCTAAGACACGTAATACCTGGTAGTACTAAGCAGTCGGACTTTCCCAGATATCTTCTAAACCAAATATACACGTTCCTTGCGCAATCTATTATAACATATTGCATTCCTGTGTGGGGTGGAGCAGCAAAGACCAAATTTCTCAACTTGGAAGGAACCCAACGAACCCTTATTAAGGGTATGTATTTTAAAAAAAAGACGTTTTTCTACTGAACAACTGTATAGAATAAGTGGTCTACTCTCAGTTAGACAATTATATGTTATTATGACAACCCTCAAAGCACACAAATTCCTACCAAAACAGGGTTTGCTAGTAGACAATTTATTTATAAAATAAATAGAGAATTGAACATATACGACAAAACATACAGTGAGTGTAAAAACCTTATACTAAAATAGATGCAGCCAAAAACCTATGACGAAACAGAATTTCTGCTCTACCGCATTTCATAATTTGCTGTTAACATACACGCACGTACACACACACACACACGCGCGCGCACTCACTCATACATGCACACATATATACTTTTGCAGTAAACCCTCGTTAACACGAACACGAAAAAATCAGACAAATAGTTCGTGTTACAGGGGAGTTCGTGTAATCCGAACAATGAAAAAAATGAATTCGTCTTTCTAAGCTTAATATTATGATTCATAATAGAAACATTTTTATTAATAATTTTGATATTATTATTTTATATTTACAATATTTTTTATTATAAATTTTTTAACTTAACGTTATTATTATTTCATATTATCCGATTTTGACTGTTTGTTTTTATTTGTTCATACAATACATTTCGATATTGTTTTGGCGATAAGTTGGTCGGAGTTTGCGTGCACAAGTTTCGAAGTTGATCGTTTCCAGCCCATCTGAAAATGCGTCTGAAACGTTGTTCGTCGCTGCATAGCGAAGAAAAATATCGAGTGTATCTCTGACCTCCTTCGACGTTGGTGGGATGACTTCTTCGATATCGCTCTCATCACTGGACTCGTGTTGATCTGGCATCAGGGCTACTTCTGGATCCCGGGTCTCGTCATTCAGGCCCGTAGTCAAATCTTCATTCAAACCCGTGGTCAGATCGTCATCGACACTGAGGTACTCGTTGAAATCAACTGACATCTAAACATAATAATGAATTGCATTAATTAATATGAACAATTAATTTAGATATGATATAACTTTTACATTAATCATTTGCACGTTGATTAATACTTACGTTCGTTAACGATTGCAAAGTTTCCCATTCAGCAGATACAGGAACCATTTCATCGTCTGCGACTGTTTGAGCTGGTTCATCAGACCGTGTCCACGCTTTTTCGAAACATTTTGCAATGTTTTCGGAAGTAACTTTTTTCCATGAACTAGCAGTAGCTCTGATAGCATCGAGAACAGTCTACTTTGGCATGCTTCGGTTTTTCTCGATTTCAGCAATCGCCGCTCGAACTAAGCGAGTGCGAAAATGATGCTTGAATGCATCCGAATTGCATGTAAGTACGACAGTTAGCCTCTGCTTGCTGCGAGTTCCTCCGTGGCATTTTTCCCCTTTGACACTCAGCGTTCTATCTGGTTTAGAAGATTGAAGAAAAGTCTCGTTTCATCTATGTTGTAGACATCTTGAGGATGATATTTTCTACTAGTTGGTTTAAATTCTCCAATCCACTCGTTTGCAATTTCTTCATTCACTTTGTTTCCCTCGCCACAAATTTTTTGTGAAGAAATTCGGTGCCGCTGTTGAAATCTCCATAACCATCCACTTGAACATTTAAAGTCACTGATTCCCAAATCTTCAGCAATTTTGAGTGCCTTTTCATTCACAAGAGGTCTGCTCAGTGGTATGTTTTCTGACCGCATATGATTGAACCATGCCAATAATCGCGATTCCATGTCTTCGTGGGTAGCTGTACGTAAACGTTTCGAACAAATGTTGGTACTTCCAGAAGCGATAGCTTCCTCTATCTTTTCTCTATTTTTCAGAATGGTAGACAAAGTAGATTTTGGAATTTAGAACTTCTCGATTACGGCAGTTTTCGACAAGACACCGCGATCAACTTCAGTCAAAATTTCGTACTTAGTTTGCACGTCAAGAGAGGTCTGCTTTCGCTTAGACATCTTGAAGAACTGAAGAGTGTTCATCAGACATCAGTTTATATGTACACTTCTTAACAAAGCCAAATTGTTAAGAAGCCTTTGCTTTTGTTAATTAGTTTTCAAATGTTAACAACCTTTTCAATAGCTTTTGTAAGACGATTTTTAGATACTGGAGTGAATGTTTGATATCCTAATCCTTTGTCTATTTTTAGAAAATCGAGTTAATGACTTTTCTAATCTTTTTAGCTGTTGTTTACCGGTATTTATATTGACCGAAAAAGGACAAAAATGTACAAAATACATGATTTGGGAATTTTTATAGTTCGTATTATCCGATAATTAACCGTGAAGGGACAAAAAAGTTGTCGAAGTTCGGATTAACGAGGGTTCGTCTTAACCGAACATAATTACATTAAAGCTTATAGAACTATTTTATAGAGCAAATTTTTGTTCGCCTCAAACCAAAATTCGTGTTAACCGTGTTCGCATTAACGAGGGTTTACTGTATATTTTTGTAATTAATTAAAAAATTTGAAAAACTTCAGTACCTATCCATAACTAGGTTAAATATTCTTGTTAGAAGCGGGACAATCACATTTTCTGTAATTTTAACTAATTTTATGGGAATATTATCCCAACCGGGAGTGGAATCATTTTTCAAGCTTCGAATGATAGAGGCCACTTCAGCACCACTGGTTGGTAGCAGTACAAAGGAGTGTAAAGGTACTCAGTTGATAATCAGTATCGTTGTCCGACCTAATGGATCGGAATTCAGATAATAAAAAAATAAACCAAAATAAAATAATGTTGAATAAATTAATATTTTAAGTAAATATATTTAGACAAATAAAAATAATAAATATCGAACGTTCGCATAGAAGCAGCTCGGTAGTTGTGCTCCCTAAGTAATATTTTGTTTCGAAAGTTTTTAATCACGTTTAAAGTTAGTAAACCGTGTAGTGGCGGTTGAGAATATCCACTACCCCATATCTTCCCGTGGGTGTCGTAAGAGGCGACAGAGGGAGACAGGCGGGAGATGGGCAGCAGCATCTTCCTGATAACAACTGTGACGTAATAAAAAACTGCGGTTGCCAACCCGCTCGCCAAGCGTGGCAACTATGGCAAATACCCCCCAATGAATAAATACACAAACAGACGGCCCCCAGTCCCCGGCGGCCCCGCTATTCCTGGCTACGGTGGCGACCATGGTAACGGCGGGGCAGGGGGTGCTAAGAATCTCCGGTGGAGGTTCGGTTGCCACCTACGACGACTCGACCTGGCAACATATAACGCACGCACCCTGAGGACTGACGAGAAGATACTAGAGCTGGAAGAAGAGGTAGACAAGTTGCGCTGGCATATTATTGGATTATCCGAAGTCCGAAGAGAGGGGGAGGACACGGCAATCCTCGAGTCCGGCAACTTGTTCTATCACCGGGAGGGCGACCATCTGTCCCAAGGAGGTGTCGGATTTATCGTCCACAAGTCTCTCGTCAACAACGTTGTAAAGATTGGGAGTGTGTCGACGAGGGTCGCGTACCTGATACTCAGAATCACCAAACGGTATTCGCTGAAGGTCATTCAGGTTTACGCACCAACCTCGGCACATCCCGATGAGGAGGTGGAGGAAATGTATGAGGATATTTCCAGAGCCATACATTCCTCCAAAACCCACTACACGGTGTTGATGGGAGACTTCAACGCAAAACTAGGCACAAGAGAAAGCGGTGAGCTGAAGGTAGGGAAATTTGGAGTAGGGCAACGGAACCGAAGGGGGCCAGCAGCTGGCCGACTTTATGGAGAAAGAGGGACTCTTTATGATGAACTCTTTCTTCCAGAAGCGGCCTCACAGGAAGTGGACCTGGTCGAGCCCCGACGGTTCGACAAAAAATGAGATTGACTTCATTATGACGACCAGACGCCAACTGTTCAGTGATGTCTCAGTGATCGCAAGGGTGAAAACCGGCAGCGATCACCGAATGGTTAGAGGCACACTGAACCTAAACGTTAAGTTGGAGAGGTCTCGTCTAATGAAGTCAACGCTCCGTCCCCCTCGTGCTCTAATCCAGAATCCCGAAACCTTTCAGCTCGAGTTACGTAGCCGCTTCCAGTGCCTAGAAGATTGCAATGCAGTGGACGATATGAACGACAAGCTCGTGGAAACTGTCCATGCGGTCGGAGCTAAGTTCTGCAAGACCCGCCGCAGAAGAACACAAAAACTCTCCGATCACACTCTTAATCTCATGGCTGTTAGACGGGAGATGAGGCTGCAATCGTCAACAGATTTGACAGCATACTGGCAACTGAACAGACAGATCTCCAAATGCATGCGGCGAGACTTACGCAACTTTAATACTTCTCGTATTAAAGAAGCGATCGAGCGGAACCAGGGCTCCAAAGTCTTTGCCAGAGATCTGTCTGCCAGAAAGAGCCAACTGTCAAAGCTGAAGACTGAGTGTGGCAACATCGTTTCCGGGACTCCTGAGATTTTGAGTGAGATTGAGAGGTTCTATGGGCAGCTGTACACATCATCGTTGGAGCCACACGCAAGTGTGAGTAACGATCCAAGAGCAAGTCTTATCCGATACTATTCCGATGATATCCCGGACGTCAGTCTGAGCGAGATTAGAATGGCTCTCCAGCACCTTAAAAACGGCAAGGCCCCGGGCGAGGATGGAATTACAGCGGAGCTTCTGAAAGCGGGTGGAAAACCGTTACTTGAAGTCCTTCGGAAGCTCTTCAATTCTGTCCTTCATGGTGGCACTACTCCGGAGGCGTGGAGCAGAAGCGCGGTGGTTTTGTTCTTTAAGAAAGGCGACAACGCTCTCTTGAAGAACTACAGACCGATTTCCCTGCTGAGCCGCGTCTACATGCTATTTTCGAGAGTCATTACAAATCGTCTCGCACGCAGACTCGACGACTTCCAGCCTCCCGAACAAGCCGGTTTCCGAAAAGGCTTCAGTACCATAGACCACATACATACCCTGCGGCAGATTGTACAGAAGACCGAAGAGTACAATCTGCCACTTTGCCTGGCATATGTGGACTATGAGAAAGCCTTTGATTCCGTCGAAATTTGGGCGGTGCTACAGTCCCTTCAGCGGTGCCAAGTTGACTCTCGGTACATCGAAGTGCTGAAGTGTTTGTACAGTAGGGCTACGATGGCTATCCGAGTACAGAACCAGAGTTCGAAACCTATGCAACTTCAAAGAGGTGTAAGACAGGGTGATGTTATATCTCCGAAACTCTTCACCGCTGCGTTGGAAGACGTTTTCAAGCTACTGGACTGGAAAGGATACGGTATTAACATCAATGGCGAGTACATTACTCACCTTCGATTTGCCGACGATATAGTCATTATGGCAGAATCGCTGGAGGACTTAAGCATTATGCTCAATGACCTCAATAGTGCCTCCCAACGGATAGGTCTTAAGATGAACATGGACAAAACAAAGATCATGTTTAATGTCCATGTCACACCTATGCCGGTAGTTGTTGGGAGCACTATGCTCGAAGTTGTTGACGAGTACGTTTACCTGGGACAAATAGTCCGACTAGGTAAGTCCAACTTCGACCGAGAGGTCAATCGACGGATTCAACTCGGCTGGGCTGCGTTCGGGAAATTACGACATATCTTTTCGTCAGGTATACCTCAATCTCTAAAAACTAGATTGTACAACCAGTGCGTGTTGCCAGTGATGACTTACGGATCTGAGACGTGGTCCTTCACTGCTGGCCGTATGAGGACGCTTAAGGTCGCTCAGCGAGCTATGGAGAGGGCTATGCTTGGAGTTTCTCTGCGTGATAGACTCAGAAATGAGGATATCCGCAGTAAAACCAGAGTGACCGACATAGCCCATCGGATTAGTAAGCTGAAGTGGCAATGGGCCGGCCATATAGCTCGAAGAACCGATAACCGATGGGGAAGAAAGGTTCTCGAGTGGCAGCCTCGTACCGGTAGGCGTAGTGTAGGGCGACCCCCCACTAGATGGAGTGACGACCTGGTAAGACATGCAGGAAGTCGATGGATGCAGGTGGCTCAGGACCGTGCTTTGTGGCATTACTTGGGGGAGGCCTATGTTCAGCAGTGGACTTGTGAAGGGCTGTAATGATGATGATGATGATGAAAGTTAGTATGAATAAGATCTCATAATTATAGTGCGTAAAGGTTGTGTT